CCAAAGTATACACATATAATAGAGACTCTATAAGCCTAGATTCAGAAGAAAGAAAAGAAAAAACATGACAAGGGCTTCTACAAAGATCTGACCAGTCTACACTTCCAAGTATTCTGCCCAGAGTCCTAAGGTAGCTTTGCCTTTAGGGGATGACACAGAGCAATCCTGCATACCACTACATGGTGACTTCATGTGGGGTAAATGCATAGGATCCAGAGTTTTGGCATCTCTACTTGCCAGCCAGAAACTACCCATAGGGTGCAAACGTCAGTCTTCCCTCTCTACGGTTCCCTGTCAGGTTGGGAATTTACCCCTCCAGCAGCCAGATAAAAAACAGATAGCAACCCATGAGCTTCAAGGCTGCTCTGCCAAGCTGCTAAGTCAACCAAGAGTACAGCACAGTCCCAAACTGTAAGCACCTCTGCAGACAGACCCTTGCTCTCAACACGCCAGGCAGGAAAACTATTCTTAGAACACTGTCAGCAGTTGGGGGGGAAATACTTGTCTATGTATGTATTATATATTCTAATGGAGAAGGGTGGAGAAAGGACTATTGAATCTCAAATGATGTGCCAACCAATTGGCACAAAATCTCTTAAGAAGCAGCTGGCATTGGCTGGGTTCCACTGCAGGAGTGTAGTCATGAAAACCAAGCGCCCCAGAAGGTTCAAGAGGTACCCTTAAATATCTGCTGAAAAGAATTGTCTCCATTGTAAATACAAACCTACAGGAACTAGAACCATGGACAAGAGCCACAAACTCTTCCAAGGATAAGAGCAGAATGTTAAGAAACAGAGGGAATTTTTTTTTAAACAAAGGGGAAAGGTAGCTACAATTCCATTACAGTAAATCCCTTAATGGCATTTACAGTCCCAGCCCTAATTTTAATAGTATGTTCTACTTCAATAGCAAAGTGAATCTCTTAAAAGAGTTAAGCTTTCATGGGGATAACAGAAAACTAATATTAAAAAATCAATAAATGCATATGGGTAAGAGTCAAACCTAGTCATTGTTCAAGTAATGACTTAAATTTGACAGTTTCTTTACTGAACACTGAAGACTCTTCTATATTCCAAAAGAACTGTACAAAGGAAGATTTACAGATGCCAGTAAACTCAAGCTCTAGAGAATGACTGCCCCTATACGAAATTCAGGCCTGGTTTGTTGTAGACTTCATAGAAACATCAATGTAATTTCACACACAGTCGGGAAGCTCAATGGTAGCTGCACACAGGAGGATATAGTTCTTGGCCAGTGAAAGCAGTGGAAAGGACCACTGTAAAGGGAACTTTCCGATCCTAGCCCAGCACCCTACTTTGCGTGTGCACCTGATGCTAGGGGCTGGAATCAGAGCCTCAGCCCGCGCTAGAAAACCTGTTTACCCGTGAAGCTACCTCCCTGCTCCAGCACCCTACTTTGAAGATCCAGCTCTGCTCACCATCTCTATCCAACTCCATCACCATTGTGGCTCTTAAGTTCAACAACTCACTTCACCCCCTACAATGCCTAGAGCACACAGTAGGTCACCAATAAACATCACAGTCATAATTTAACTCTTACTGAGGAGGCCATAAATGGAAAGATGTCAAAATAATTAGAAAAGAGAGAAAAGGCAACGAGAATAGACACAGTGGAAAAGCAAAGCAAAATTGTCCAACTCTAGCTCATTAAAATATTATTTAGGGAAAACAAAACATTGTGTTGGCTTATATGGCCACTGAGACTCAGCAATCGCCTCTAAGCCTGGGCACCGACTAGGAAGCCCCACTGTTTTAATGAGTTTCTCGCTGCCCTGACTGGCCAAGGCGATGCTTCTTCACCTGGTAACCCTGGAACAGACGCGAAGGTGTGGGCTCCTGGAGTGAAGCCCACCTACCATGCCTCTGCTCACCGAGAAGTCTCCAAATTTTTTTTAAAAAGTTTTAAAACAAACAAATCCTCTCTGCCACCGCTGCGAGTTCACCTACACTGAGCCTGCTGTCCTCAACAGCTACTCACAGGGCGCGCCCCAAGCCTTACCCCGGCAGCACCCGGCAGGGGTCCCGGGGAAGCCTCCTTCGGGCTATGCAGCACCAAGCCCACAACAAAGGCAAGTGCAGAGCCTGGGTGTTCGTTTGCTTCCTGTTTATTCCACCGTGAGGGTCAAAGAGAAATTCAACACACGCCAGCTTCCTCCCGGGGCCCGGAGACCCGCCTAAGTGTTACAGCGGCCACCCCAGACAATCGACTTTCCTAGCCAATGCCAGGAGCTCTGGCAGCCCGCGACCGGCGTCAAAGCACGCGGGGGAGGGGGGGGGGGAACCCGGGAAGACCGGGCTGAAAGGCTGAGAAACCAGGAGCCGGTGTGCTGGGGCGCAAGGTGCAGGGGGAGGCTGCGGGTGCAGGATCCCACCGCCCCCGCCCCCTCCTTCTCGAAAACTCCCCGGCCAGGTCCAGCACGGTCTTCCCTCCTCTTGCTGACCTCCAGTCCCCCTGGCTGCAGCAGCCAAGAGGCCTAAGAGCGCACATACACTCGGGGCAAGCCACCCCCGCGCCCATCCCGGTGCAGAATGAATTCCTGCTATCGCGGGACACTCTAGAGCAAGCGGGTAGGGGGTCGGCGAGGTGCTCCCAGACGAGCACTCCGAGGATGGGCAAGCGCCCCGGCCGCCCTCAGTGCCCACCCGTGACACAGCTCCACAGACCTGCCGCGCGGATCTCCGGGGGGACGCAGGGGCTGGGAGGGCAGCGGCCCGCCGCAGGCTGCAGGCCACCCCGAGCCGCTTCCAGTCCGGACGTCCAGGCCCTTCCCCACCCCGCCCCCCGCCACCACGCAGAGGTGAACTTGGGCCAGACGCCGCGACAGCAGCCGGCCCGGCGGGTCCGCACTCACCTGCCGCAGCCCTAGGCGGAGGCAGGGAGCGCCCACCGTGCGCTCCGGGCCCGGGCCGCCGACTGCGGGGGAGGGGCGAGCTCCCGGACGGCCGCGGCAGGGGGCGCAGCGGGCCGCCTGGGAGCACGACGCGGCGCCGGGCTCTTTAAGAGCAGGGACCTTGCAGCCGGGCCTCCCCGCCCCCCGTGCACTTTCCCAGGGACTCGCAGCCTGTCTGGCGGCCGCGGCGGCTCCTCCCCGGCTCGCTGGGGATCCCCGGCCAGCGCGCCGGGCGGGCAGGGCGGCCGGACTCCGCTGCGAGTCCCGCCGGGCTGGGGCACAGCCTGCAGGCAGGGGGAGAGGAGCACCGTGCGGGCCGCCGGGTCGGACGCGTCCCGCCACGCGTCACCGGGAGAGACGTCCCGCCTCCCGCCACAGCCGGGTGTCTGTCTCCAACTCCTCAGCCTCTCCCTTTCCTCCGCCCCGTTCTGCGGCGGGGACCAGGCGCGCGGCCAGGCGTCGGGGGCGGGGGGCGTCGGGACGGTGAGGCTCCGCCCAGGTCCCGGTGCACCCTCTGCGCCCCCGAGGCCGCGGGACACCGGCTCCGTGGGGCGATCGGTGCACTCCCTCCCAGGATTCTCCGGGCCCGAGCACCCACCGCCGCCTGGACCGGGAACTCCAAGCCAGAGTCCCGGAGCTGGGGTGAGAGAGGAGCGTGCGCGCTGTGGGTAGGCAGGCCACAGACGGTTTGGGGAGAGAGCAACTCTTGCCTCTCCAGCTGTGCATGCCCACCCGCTGCAGATCTTGACCATCAACTCGAAGACACACAGTAGGACCACAGGACACTTAGTAGGAAAGGCCAAGCCTCTGGGGAACCCTCCCCTCAAGACTGGAGGTGCCTCTGGACTCCACCGGGTCACCCGTCTAAGAGGTCGCCCTCTTCAAGTGAAATAGCTCTGGACTGGGATGTGAGAACTATGACCCTTTGTCCTTGAAGACCTCCCTGTCCTCCTCCTAAGAAGGCCAGGACTGGACCTCCACCAGAGTGCAGACGATGGGTCATCATTTTTCCTGATGTACTCGCACTGACACAGGCCAACCCAACCATGTTTGATGGAGATTGTTTGCTGCCACCACGAATTTTATTACAGTCAACACAATCAGAGAGTTGAGTTTCTCTCCCAAAACTATCCTCCCTGTAGACCATCAAGATACATGAACCGAGTTTTCAGGTTTGGTTTAACAGAGATGCGCATAATTAAAGAGGAACAATTTTCATCTCTTCCCCACTCCCCCCCCTCTTTGCCCAGCTTCCAAAATACCAGAGAAATTAATATGTTGGAATCTGCTATCAATTTATCGGTAGCTTTTCCATTGGTGGACTATTCTTCAGTTTCTCCTGAGTTTCAGTTCTCAACTATCCTAACGATCACTGCAGCATTTGGCCAGTGTTTTCATCTCTTCCCCACTCCCCCGCCCTTTGCCCAGCTTCCAAAACACCAGAGAAATTAATATGTTGGAATCTGCTATCAATTTATCGGTAGCTTTTCCATTGCTGGACTATTGTTCAGTTTCTCCTGAGTTTCAGTTCTCAAGTATCCTAACGATCACTGCAGCATTTGGCCAGTATTCATATGTAATGCAGTAAGCACCAGTGGAAAACAATGCACCAAATATTTCTCACGGATTATTTTACTGAATCTTCACAATAGCAGTGACCCATTCTCCGCTTTCCGGATGACAAAATTGAGGCTGGGAAAGATTCAGAAATGTGTCCCCAGACCACAAAGAGAAGGGTTTAGCTCTGCTAAATGGCAGTGTCAGGGGTGTTGAATAGGCATACCACACTGCCACCTACCTACAGCAGCTTTGACATCCAGTTCCAGCTCTGTTAAACTCAGCCCAGCAACAACTGCAGGATCTTCCTAGCACTGTGCCGGCTCCCTGCTGGTGATGCTCAGGTCTCCCTCGTAGATTGGTCGGGGAATTTCAAATCTAGCTGTTAGGACAGACTTTTTAAAAAATGAACAATGAGTTGATAAATGCTTAACACAGATTATCTGAAGCTAATAAGCATAGACTTACTCATGTACACAAATGTATACCACAGTGATAACAGCTCTCTTGCAGTGCAGATGGAACAACTGGGTTCTTGCTGTTTAGGTAGAAAGGAATATTTTTTCTTCTTTTAACTTCCCCCTAAGATGGATAGTGAGGTAGAAAATATTTTCCCAGGGGACTGGAGAGATGGCTCAGCGGTTAAGAACACTGATTGCTCTTGCAGAAGACCCAGGTTCAAATCCCAGCACCCACAGGGCAGCTAACAACTGTCTGTAACTCCAGTCCCAGGGATCCCACAGCCTCTTCTGACCTCCGCAGGCATTACAGGACACGGGTGCACTTACCTGCATGCAGGCAATACACGCATACACATAAAAATAATAAATAAAAATTTAAGAAAAAAATGTTTTTCCAAAACCACAAAACACTTTGTTCTCTTTCACTCATGTATAATTTCCCTCCGTATAACGTAACTCCTTAAGCTGAAGGCTGTTTTACCATTTCTGATCTCTCAATCAATCTCAAATTGCCTTTTCTTGTCTTCCCTAATTTTTTGTATATTTTTGTTGAATTTGTGTGTATTTCATATACAGCATCTTAATCACTTTTATACCCCTTTCTTCATCAGCACCTTCCCAGGGTCTTCCCCTCCCCTGCCACACACACACACTGGATTTCATGCATTCTGTCATTTATGTTAAGACCTATTGAGTCAAGTCAGTGTCCCCAGATTTCCCTCAGTTCAGGTTCATCCACTGGGGTCTAGTCAGCCTAAATAGAGACACTCCCTTAAAGCCGCTCAGCTCTTCCTCACCCAGCAGTAATCAGCCGCTCAATAGTTCTGTTAATATTGGGGCCTGCTACCCATTTCCACAATTCTATGCTGGGTTTTCATCTGCTTGAGTTTGCATGGGTCTTGTGCATGCTGTCAGTCTTCTCTAATTTTTTACAAGAAACTGAAGATCTCTATCTCCATTTCTAGAAAACAGCTATGGGAGAATCGACCCCTGGGTTTTAGAGTCCTTCCTCCCTGTATCTTTTTTCCATTTCAGCTGTCTCCTCCCATATCCTTATACACATGCGCACAGCGCCTTACAGTAATGGGGGAGTTGGGGATATTGAGATACATTTGCTTTCTGTAAAATTTGTCATGATTATGTCAGTTTCATTCCAACCATGCAGTATATCACATTGATATACTGAGCCCAGACAGGCGCTCAGGGAGGTAGGAACCTTGTTTTTCCCAGTCTGAAAGAGACTGTGTATCCATACTCACAGATCAGGGCCTGATACTAAGAACTCAAAAGATTTAGGGGAATAAATGGAGCCTAGTAATGGGACAGACAGGTAAATAACATTGAGGGAAAGTATCAATAAATCGGATAAGATTCAAATGAAATTTGTTTCCAGGAAAAGGAAGTTAGATAAAACAATTTTTTTCACTGTAAATCCACTGCCGTTTATCTTGTGTCAATTATACCCTGCCCATACTTAGTCCACATAAGGTTGCTAGTCAGTCATCTAAAGAGACAAAAATAGAAAAGACAAACATGAGCAGTTGGTCAAAAAAAGAATCTGAGGGCCCCAAGTGACCACAAGATGAATGTGAGTCAGGGAACATAATTCTGTTACTTGGATCCCATGTATAACATTTAGATGAATTTTAAGCTGTCCAAAATGACCCCATCCTACACTTGGTATGTTTTAAACAGGAGAGAATGAGAAGGAAACACTTCCTTCATAAGTAATTCCAGTCCTGGAGAAGTGAGAACTCCAGTCTAGATAGAATCTGTGAATAAGCAGGTCCAAGAGAAAAAGACTTTCCCCATATGCCTCAGTGTCAGGGTATTTCATCTGCTACCCAAGATCAGGCCTCTGTATGCAGTCTTTAACAGGTGTGCTGGATAGCTTTAGTGTCAACTTGACACACCTGGGTTGAGGGAGCCTCAATCAGGGTATTGCATTCATTGGCCTGGCCTATGGCCATGTCCTTGGGGCATCTTCTTGATTGTTGAGTGATGTGGGAGGGCCCAGCCCACTGTGGGTGGTGTCACCCCTGGGCACGTGGGCCTGTGTTGCATAAGAAAGCAGGCTGAGCAGGGGCCAGG